CTTCCAAGCGGTGGCGGCGGGTTTGTAGAGCGTTCCGTGCGCATGCGCACGGAACGCTCTTGCACTTTCGGGGGGACTGCCCCAAGGGGACTGCCCCAAGAGTGCACAAACCTCCCCCTGCCCCCCCGGTGGCCCCGGAGCGCGGATTTAGCGATCCACACTCACGGGGCCACTTGACTATTAGATATATAGATAATGCTGGAATGTTTTTATACGGTTTTAGGTTTGTTTAAATTGCTTACTTGTATGTTTTTATTCTTTTATGCAAGCCGCCCTGAGCCGGCTCCGACTGGCAGGGCGGGGGATACATTTGATGAATGAATAAATAAATAAATAAAATAGGCTTTTCAGGGGGGAGGACTTTGATCCTTTCTCTCCCCACGACTAGAGGAAACAGAACAAAATTATACCAAAGGAAAAAAAAGTACACACACACACACCCGTGCGCACCAGCGCATAGAAAGGACTGTCATTTATCCAGGGTTTTTTAGGGTTGGGCTTTTTTTGTATTTTCATATGTGCATTAGTGTGTGTGTGTGCACCTGGGAGTCATGGTGACCTCTGGTGACTGACCCCTACTGGGGGCCTGGAGGATATTCAAAGAGGTGGTTGAGTAAAGCCTGCCCCCGCCTCCCAACTGCTGGTATGTGTCATGCCTACCCTCGACCCGGCACCTGGGAGCTCTGAAACTGAGGACCGTGCCTTTAACATCATCAGAGGCATGAGAGTCCTTGCCAAACCTAAGTGCTGGAGAGGATGAATACCAAACCCCAGGACAGCTTGCACCTGAAGCCGATCAGGCAGTGCCTGGCCCCAGCAGCAAGACACCCGATTCTCCGCCACCTGTCGACCGGCTGAGAAATCAGAGACGGCGGGACTTGGCAACCAGACGCAAGGAGGCACGCTTGTGCGGTTGGAGAACAATGAGCCCGGGGTCACTGACTGCTGGCAAATCGCGCTGGCAAACTAGTCCTTCGGACCAGAAGCTCTGCACCTCTGACGCTGTTCCTGAGATCCTGTACTGACTGACTTCCCGGTTCCTGAATCCAGTCCGCATTTTGATGACTCTCTAGCTCTTGATCCTCGGCTCTGCATTTGACACTCGCTTCTCTGGACTCTGACTCTTGGTAACGCTCTGACTATGGCTTGGCTTTGTGTATCGGGACGCTGGCTCTGCTTGTCTTTGATCTCTCTGGCTTTGACTCTCAGACTGAACTGTAAACTCTCCCTCTCTGCCCGGCCCCCTGTCTCTGTCGTGACAGTATGCCAAGGAGGTCTCCCAGCCAAATACTAACCAGGGCTGACCCTGCTTAGCTTCCGAGATCTGATGAGATCGGGCTTGCCTGGGCTATCCAGGTCAGGGAGCTCTACCAGGGATGTCTGACTGTTGAAAACAGAAAGCTAGACTGGCTGAACCTCAAGCCTAACTAAGCCAAAGATAACAAATTTAGAGTCCGGTGGCACCTTTAAGATCAACAGAGGTTTATTCAAGGTATGAGCTTTCGTGTGCACGCACACTTTATCAAATACGTCAGAATGGCAGGTAAGGTTCAAACTTATAGCCAGAGAAGAAGGACTCTAAATTTATTGTACTGCTTCAGACCAACACGTCTGACCTACTGGATCTAAGCCAAAGATAAAACAAGCCATAGTCCCCACGTAATACTTTTTATTAGGACCAACCAAATGACACATAACACTGTGTGCGCTTTCCAGCTGAACTCAAAAGCTTACACACTGGGCTTTTCTGCAGTCTCATCTTCCTCCCTTCTAAGTTTTTGTCTGTTCCACACGTGTTTTGCTCCCTCTAGTGGTCGATTCAATATTGCACAGCTTTATGTTTGGCATAACTCCCTGCAGATTTAAACAACAGGTTTTTATGCTGGACATAAACCACTGTAATATTGAATCAACCACCAGACAGAGAAAAACACATGCAGAATGGGGGGGAAACCGCCAAAGAAACAGGAATTTACAAATGAGGAAAATTAGTATGCAGAAAAGCCCACTTTTACATGCCATTTAGTTGGACCTAACAAAAGGTATTGTGTGGACTGTTTCCTGTGTTTCTGGATGGTATACTGGGACCCTCACGGCTGCTAACAACGACCTTCTAACCAATCCAGCCCGCACTCCCATACTCACCGGCCGTGGGTTGAAGTCTTCCTCTTCCAGGTGCCAGCGTTCACGGTAGAAGCGGTAATAGACCAGGTTCTGCTGCATGACCTCATCTCCAGGGTCAAAGAGCATGTAGCTGGCCACACTCTGAACTGCGTTCTTGATGTCGTTCACTGCACAAAGAACAGAACACCACATCAGTGGAACAGATGTCTGGGGTGACTTGCACACCGTGATGGTTCTCTGGGGTTTTCTTGTTCTCCTGTCCCTCTGCCTGTGTAATTTTGGTAACATCCAGCCTGGTGAAGAGTTCAGATGATCTCGGAAGCTTCCACAGTGTTTTGTGTCAATTTGGTGGGTCCTAATAAAAGGAACTGCCCTGACTGGGATGGGCCAGGCTACTCTGATCTCTTCAGATCTCCAAAGCTAAGCTGGGTCAGCCCAGGCTAGTCCTTGGATGAGAGACCACCAAGGAAGTCCAGGGCTGCTATGCAGAGGCAGGCAACGGCAAACCACCTCTAAATGTCTCTTGCCTTGAAAACCCCATAAGGCAGAGGTGTCGAACTCATTTGTTAAAAGGGCCGGATCTGACATAAATGTCACTCTATTGGGCCGGGCCATGTGTGCAGTAAATTGTAAGGCCAGGTACCGAAGATATCTTACCACTGGCCCTTACCATACCCCTCCTCAGCAGAGCTCAGGGCCAAACCAACCCCCCTCACCTCTTATGGTTGCCAACTCTGGGTTGGACAATCCCTGGAGATTTGGGGGAAGACCTTGGGGAGGGCCTGCATTTGGGGAAGAGAGGAACTTCAGCAGAGGGTATAATACCCTAATATAGGCCTTTCTGGTCCTCATTCGGACTGTTTTCCCCCCAGTTGCTCGCAGGCCAGATAAGAACCCTGGACGGGCCAGTTCCAGCCTCCGGGCCTTATGTTTGACATGTCTGCCATAAGAGGTTGTCATAAGTGCCCTGACCTGGATAGGACAGACAAGACCGATCTCTGTCCCAGGCCTCCCAGACAGCCAGCATGGTGTAGTAATTAAAGTGTTGCAGGCCTGTAGCTAGGATTTTGTGGCTTTGGGGGCAATTTTTTTTTTCTGGTGCGGCTGAAGTTCTCAGTGCAGATCTCTAAATTGCAAGCTGTCAACCACTGTAGATGACAGCTGCTGCAAGGGAATCACTTCTGCCTGCCTAAGCAACTATTCTGATAACAAGCCGGCAGGTGGGGGTGATGACTTCTACAGTCAAGAAAGCTAACACTTAGGCAGAAAAACTCTCTTAAAAGAGACCAGTTTCTTGACATAGAGTTAGAAGGGATCCTAGAGGTCACCTACTCCAACCACCTTGCTCAGTGTGGGAATTACTCAAATATAGCACCTCACTCTGCTTAAAGGAGTGCACACCTTTAAAAATGTTTTCAAAAAGCATTAACAGGAGAACTTCTTGTGGGGATGTGTCTTTAAGAAAGGGGGCGGAGCCCCCCAAAGCCCCACCATAGCTACGGGCCTGAAGTGTCGGACTAGGAACTGGGAAATCTAGGTTCAAATCCCCACTGGTTGCACAGAATCTTGCTGGGTGACCTTGGGCCAGTCACACACGCTCAGCCTAACCTACCTCACAGGATTGTTGTGAGGATAAAACTGAGGAGAGCAGAGAGATGTGAGCTGCTTTGGGTCCCCATTGGGGTGAAAGGCAGGATCTAAATAAAGTAAATAAACAAGAGGATTTGGTAATAACCCCTCTGTTAGGCACAAGTGGACGGACCTGAAACCCCCCCCCCAACGTGTCCCCAAATCAACCCTCTCCCACGGACTCACACTTGTAATAGGCAAACTGAAGGTAGTGATACATTGTGGCTACAAACTTCTCCACAAAGTAGCCACCTACGTTTGGGGTCAGGTCAGCCTCACAACCCACTTTGCACTGCAGGACTTCGACAAAGTGATCTGGACGGGGGGGGGAGAAAAGAACAGACATTTAAATGCACATTTAATAAATCTTAACTGTTATTTATGTGCTTTAATCCTTTGTAAGCTGTCCTGAGCCTGCTCTGGCGGGGAGGGAGGGGTATAAATTTGATAGACAGACAGACAGACAGACAGACAGACAGACAGACCGATACATACATACATACATACATACATACATACATACATACAGGTGTTAGTGGTCCTTTCCGCACTTGGATCTCATCCCTGGTTTTATCAAGTTCAACTCACACACAATATCTTGCGTTTATCCCTGGTTATAACAGCGTCCGTTTATCCCGGGACACGTGTGGGGCGAAACCGGGGTGATCTCAGTGTAATGTGGAAACAAAAAATAACCCGAGATAATTACAGGGGTAAACTTGAGTGTAGTGTATAATGTAAAAATACCCCGAGATAATTTACTTTAATCGAGCTTTCCTAAAAAGACCGAAATGACTGGGTCCCGTCCAGTATTCCCTCTAAACTGAGTTACTGTGAGCTAGCTCAGTTTTTTAGCCTCCGGCGCACACATTTTTGTCTTAGCTCAGGAAGGACGGGGCTCCGAAGCAAACTAATTTATGCAGCGGCCAAATTGCTTGCTTGCAACTTTAATGCCAGTAACTCACAAAGTAGATTTTTTTGCTCACAAGACTCCACGGCTTAGAGGGAGCATGTGAAGGTTCTAGAAAGCCTGCCTTTTAATTTAGAAACTCTGCTCCCAAATCCAAAGATTTACCTGCAAGGCCAATGGTATAATCCTAAAACAGAGTTACACCCTTCCAAGTCCATTGATTTCAACAGATTTAGAAGGAAACACCTCTGCTCAGGTTTGTACTGCAAGTGACTTGCAAGGAATTTCTTTTTTGTCTGCCACATAGAACCAGAACTAGCTTGCTAAACTGAACGGAACTGAACATCTGCGTATTTAAGAAGAATACAATGCTACTGCAGTTCTCCCACACCTGATAGTGCAGTTTTAAGAGATGGTTTTAACAGGCAAATTGTGTTTTTAAATAGAGGTTTCTCCTCCCCCCATTTTGCATACTTTGATCCATGAAACTGTTGCCCTACCAGAAACAGCTAAGAAGAGTGACAGAAAGAGCTAGCATTTGTCTCTGCCCTCACCTGCAATGGCTGCCCCTTCCCTCCCCCTTCGTCCTTACCTGCAATGGCTGGATAGAAATCCTTAAAGTCACGGAGCTCATAGCTGCCTTCACACCCAGCCAAACAGTTCTCGTAAACCTTGTAGTACTCGGCTAATGCGTGCTCCATGTCAGCAATGCTGCTCCTGAAATCCCCACTGTTATACAGCTTCACAGCTCGCACGAAAACGGTCTGCAGGCCGGTGGAAGGGAAAGGTCACACGTCAGGTGCAACAAAAGGAGTCCCACCCCATCAAACCCAGCTGTCCACCCGCCTGAGAGTTCTAAAAGGGGTCCAACCAGATATTCCATCTACTGCCCCATCTTAAGGTGATTGGCTACATTGGAGGTTCCTGTAGGGTTGCCAAGTTGGAACGATGCACCGGTGGAGGAGGAGGAAGGACTTTCTGGGAATAGTGAGGAGTGTCACGATGTGTCTACGTCACCTGGAAGTGACGTAGGCACGTTGGGGGCGACGCTCTGGTTTTTAAGCAAAACTCTGTGGTAAAATCACCCTCAAACCATAGAGTTTCACCCACATCACTTCCAGGTGATGCAGGTGCATCACCCTATGTTGCGGCTAGGGGAAGGGATCTGGGGGGCAGGAGCCCACAAAACCAGGCAATCCCCTGCCCCCAAACGGGGGAATGGCAACCCCAGGTTCCCAACATTTTTCAGTCTGCAGGCACCTTTGGAATTCTGACACAGTGTGGAGGGAGCAGCCACAAAACAGCTCACACAAAATGGCCACCTCAGGAGGCAGAGCCAGCCACAAAATGGCTGCCGCAGCTTACCTTCAGTCACCCAGTGAAGAGCCTTATGCTAAGGTGGCGGCTTCAACTAAACCAACAATTTAAAAAAATCTGTCCAGCCAATCAAATCTCCACCCACTTTCTAAAAGCACTTAGTGGGTGCCAGGAAAGGTGTTGGCAGGCACCACATTGGGGGCCTCCTGCAATGTTCCCTCTATGTTCTGGAGTCTTGTGAGCAAAAATTCTACATTGTGAGCGACTGGCATTAAAGTTGTGAGTGAGCAATTTGACTACTGCATAACTTAGGTTGCTCTGGAGCCATCCTTCCTGAGCTAAGACAAAAATCTGCGAGCTGGAGGCAAAAAAACTGTGAGCTAGCTCACACTAACTCAGCTTAGAGGGAACACTGGCCCCCTGTGCTATACATTACTTTGTGCCTCCTCCAAAAACCTCACAACAGTACGAGTTTCTCCCTGCTGCCACGTTATCCTTAAGTTAGGCTGGGTTCCTAGATCACGCAGTGAGCTTTTACGGCTGAATTTGAACCTGGGTCTTTGGAATTAGGGTTGGATTGAGCCTCAGTCCTCTGCTAAAACTCTGCTAAACCTCTGATACACCTATACTTCTTTAATTTTTATAGCAGGAGTCTGCTAAGTGCTGTGGCCTTGTGGTACTGGTAACTCTGTGCATGACTTCTGCCTTACATGGCTTTTGCCTTTTGGAATGTTTATACATTATCAGATTCTAAACAGATACGAGAATCTGGACCTAGCTTCCTGGGATTCTCTTAGTCGGCCTTGACTCTCTGAGTCAGCTTAGCTTAACCATGACTTTCCTTGACTTTCCTGACCCCAGGTATAGAAAGAAAGGAATGACTGTGTTGTATATGTCAGATGTATGTCAAATGCTTGTCACATACTTGACTGACAGTTACATTAGCTTCTATGGGTGGAAAAGGGTACTTAATGTCTGAATTCAGTTTTGTTTCTGGTTGTTCTGGCCAACCACCCTCAGTTATGGGTCTTGGCAGAGCAACCAAGAATATCCTTTATATAACTTCAAGTGCACTATTTATGTATTGGGGTTGTGCTGAAATATTCTGTGTTAAATACTGAAATGCTGTAAAAGTGTTTTCTGACTTAGGAGTGTGTAATAGAATAAACCGAGTTTTGGTTTAGAACGACTCTCTCTCTCCCTCTCCCTCCCAATGCAATTGGAAAGCCAGCTTCTCTCCATCCCTGAAATGAACACAGTGGGAATGGGAAGGCGTGAAAAGGTTCTTGCACCCCTCTTTTCCCCAACCATCTTCCCATGTCGTCGTCCAACACTTTCACCCTGGTGCAGAATTCCTAAGGAAGCAACATCTATCCCTTCCTGCTAATGTGCAGCACCAAGCAGTCGGAGATGTCCAGTGCTGGAAAACAAATGACGTATTTTTGGCTTTGTATGTTGGCAGCCACCTAAAGAATCCCTCTCCACGGCCATGAAGGCCACTGACCTGCCATTCCAGTATCCAGTCCTGAAATGACCTCTGTGACGTAAGCAAGAATGCGTAGAGCCATATTCTGAAAAAGCCACGGCTGCAACATTTTATCCTGGTGGAGCAAGCAAGCTCCATTGGCCCCATGTTTTGGAGAAGACCCAGCTGTGCAGAGACTGGGGACTGGCCAGCAGCTTCAATCTTTCCTCAGGTGGTTTTACATTTTATGAACAGACCTGTGCCTTTATTTGTTCATTCCACACCTCGTTTGTTTGTAAGGCATGACCCACTTGGAAAACAGCTCTGAGCGAGAGGAGGGCATTACAGCCACCCGCCAATCATGCTCTGTATAGCCAGCTGCCAGCCAATCAGGACTCCATGGAACGAGCTTTGTTGCAGAGACCAACAGAACCATTTCCCTTCTGCTCAGTCCTAGAGGGGAATGCTCACATCTGTCAAGAATGCGGAGAACGTGCTTCCAGAATGCAGCGGCTGCTGTTTTCCCCTGTACACACCCCAAGTCTCCCTGTCTGTTATTTACTAAGCGAGGACGTTAATTATCCCCTGAAGAGCATTTCTGGGATGGGGGGAATAAACTGTCTTCTGTGCCAGTTTAAGGAATATTGCAGATTTTGAGGCTGCCACTTGTGGGGGTCTATAATTTGGCACAGTGTTGGACGACGGAGGAGAGAGGCGGCCAACAACCCGGCATACAGCACCCCTTCCTCTCAAGCCCCCAGGCCCTTCAAGATCCCTGACCGGTCTCAGTATTGGTGAAAAGTGTGGTCAGCTCACAGCTGACCGATGGCAACCCCTCACGGGGTTTTCCAGACAAGAGACAAAGAGAGGTGGTTTGCCACTGCCTTCCTCTGCAGAGCAACCCTGGACTTCGTCGCTGGTCTCCCATCCAAGTACTAAGCAGGGCCAATCTTGCTTAGCTTCCAATCTCCAATGAGATCGGGCTAGTACATAAGAACATAAAAGAAGCCACGTTGGATCAGGCCAATGGCCCATTCAGTCCAAAATTTTGTGCCACACAGTGGCCAAAAACCAGGTGAGGTCAGGAGGTCGGCCAGTGGGGCCAGAACTCCAGAAGCCCTCCCACTGTTGCCCCCCAAGCACCAGGAACACAGAGCATCACTGCCCTGGACATTATGTTCCATCTATACCTTGTAGCTAATTGCCACTGATGGACTTCTGCTCCATCCGTTTATCCAGTCTCCGCCTGAAGCTGTCCATGCTTGTGGACACCACTTCCTGTGACACTCTGGGCCAACTGCGATCTTATGCTACCACAATCCATAAGAACACTCCCAACTACCCCCCACATATTCAGAATCCCCACCTTTCTCCATTCACCTCATACGGTTGTGCTTCCAGGTCTACGAGGTACTCATCCACATCCACCATGGTTTTGTAGTAATTCAGGTACCTCTGTGTCACCTCGTGCTTGGGGTTCTTCTGCAGGAAAGTGTGAGCTGCGGACACGGCCTTCTCGATCTTATTTGCCTAAGAAAAATAAAATGAAATAACCAATAAAAGAGGAATCACCCTACGGCAGAAAGATCTACACAGATCCTGCTTGGGACCCCGTTCTCCAAATTCCATTGTTATAGGATCACATTCGCCATGCTAAGAAGACCCACAGAGTCAGGCTTCTTTTCATCAAATTTAGCAATACCAGGAAGTTCTCCTGTACAGTCCACCCTCTTTAAATTAAATGGAGCTGGGCAAGACACCCTTTTAAGAATATCAGAAAGAGGAGAAGGAGATTGGATTTATACCCTGCCCTCCACTTGGAGTCTCAGAGCGGCTTACAAACTCCCTTCCCTTCCCCTCCCCACAACAGACACCCTGTGAGGTGGGTGGGGCTGAGAGAACTCTGACACAAACTGCTCTTTTTCAAGGACAGCTGTGCCAGAGCTTGTGACTGACCCAAGGTTACATCAGCAGGTGCAAGTGGAGGAGTGGGGAATCAAACCCGGTTCTCCCAGATTAGAGTCCGCACACTTAACCACTACACCAAACTGGCTCTCCAGAAGAGCCCTGCTGGATCAGACCAGTGGTCCACCTAGTCCAGCATCCTGTCTCACACAGTGGCCAGCCAGTTCCTCTGCAGGGCCAACAAAGGGTATAGCGGTCGACAATGTTCCCTCTAAGCTGTGGAGTCTTGTGAGTGAAAACTCTACTTTGTGAGCTAACGGCATTAAAGTTGTGAGCGAGCAATTTGGCTACTGCATAAATTAGTTTGCTCTGGAGCCATCTATCCTGAGCTGAGACAAAAATGTGTGTCAGAGGCTAAAAAACGGTGAGCTAGCTCACACTAACTCAGTTTAGAGGGAACATTGGTAGTTGAGACCTTTCCCTGATGTTGCCTCCTGGCTCTGGGATTCAGAAGATAAGTGCCTCTGAGTGTGGAGGTTCCCCTCAGCCACTATGGCTTGTAGCCATTGATAAACATATTGTCCAGGAATCTATCTAATCCTCTTTTAAAGCTGTTTATTCCTATGGCCATTACTACATCCACTGGCAGCGAATTCCACATTTTAATCACAGAGAGCCAGTTTGGTGTAGTGGTTAAGTGTGCGGACTCTAATCTGGGAGGACCGGGTTTGATTCCCCACTCCTCCACTTGCACCTGCTGATGTGACCTTGGGTCAGTCACAAGCTCTGGCACAGCTGTCCTTGAAAAAGAGCATTTTGTGTCAGAGTTCTCTCAGCCCCACCCACCTCACAGGGTGTCTGTAGTGGGGAGGGGAAGTGAAAGGAGTTTGTAAGCCGCTCTGAGACTCCAAGTGAAGGGCGGGGTATAAATCCAATCTCTTCTTCTTCTCTTCTCTGTGTAAAGTAGTATTTCCTTTTGTCCTTCCTGAACCTACTGTCCGTCCACTTCATTGGATGCCCTCGAGTTCTGCTATTTTGGGAGAGAGAGAAAAATGTTGTCAGCTCTCTCCACTGCATGCATATTTTAATAAACCTCAGTCATTTCAGTGGACCTACCACATGAGAACTTCCTGATAGGTTGGGCCTCAAATCTGGTTGCTGGACTTGAACCCTGATGACTCCAGTGGGTTGCCACCTTCTGCTGCCACCACCCTGGACTTAGGTCCCTTGAGAAGGCCCAGGGTACCTTCCCACACCCCTTCAAATTGCCCCTTTTTAGCCGAGAAATGTAAGTGTGATGACCAGGCAGAGAAACAATTAAACAAAAGGGGTTTATTACTACAGCACTGGGCAGGGGGAAAACAAGACAAGACAAGGGACTTTAAGTGTTGAAAGGCCAAAAGAAACACAAAGCTAACGCAGCTACCTAATACTCCTTAACTGTTACCACTCAAGCCCTACAGCTCTCTCATGCCAAGCTTCTCTCTGTACTCGGTGGGTGTGTTCAGACGAGCCGTTTAGTCCGCTTTCGACCCGCCTCAGAAACGGATTTTATCTGCGCAATCACATGGTCAACATCTGCCTCCTGTCCCCAGCCGTCACTTTCCGGCTCAAAACTGCTTTAACCCTGAGTATTTTGATACCAGGTCCCCAAGTGGTGTTTTCCTGATTCTCCGGTTCCAGCCGCATTTTCCCCCTGTGTGATCACGGCCCCGGGGTCGAGCCACTTCCGGTTTAAACCCCCTCCCCGCTCGAAAGCTGTCCGAGGCTTCCGCTTTTCACCCACCATTTTTAAAAAAGCATTGGTGGTGTGCGCATAGGCAGAGGTCTGCCACAGGGTTATTAAAAACAATGTTTAAATGGTGCCTAGTTTTAGCCTTTAGACAAGTTCGGGATCTCCGGGAGGACATTTTCGGCAGTAAACGTTTAAAGGGAAGTGTTCCTTTAAATGTTTAAAGGGAAGCATTACAGCAGTCGGGTTGAAGAGGAAATTGCTGTTCTACAGATGGCTGCCAGTGCGCATGCCCAAACTGAGAGAGAGAGGAAAAAACACCGACGCGTGTGGACGGAGGGGAGCAATGTGGCTGCGCAGCGATCCGGAGCAAGGAAGTGAGTGTGATCGCGATTCTCCAGGTTAAAAAAAACACACGCATGGAGCTGGAGCAGTTTAACCCGCTCCCAGCACGCCGTCTGACTGCACCCACTGTCCCCAGTGGGGGATCTTTCTCCCAGACCAGTCTCCTCAGCTGAGCTCTGTGAGAGGCAAACTGCAGAGAGGAAAAGAACACAGTTTAATTGACCACCAAGTATATAAACAATCTCCTCAGATAATTCCTCGACCTCCATTGGTTACTGCTGGCGCAAAACCTTGTGGGGATTGTAGGCTGTCAGCTTCCCACTCCCAGGCAGGTCTCTTAGGCCTCAGTAGGCCCAGTCCTGCACAGATCTCCAGAGGCCTACACAGATCATGACAAACCCTGAGCCTATTTTCAGTGTGATCGCTCAGCTCTGGAACATGTGTAGTGCTAATAATGAGAGCACCGAAGAATGACTTTTCCTCGCCACTGTAGCCCTGTATTTACTTGTTGAATTCATTTATTTAGAATTATTTCTATGCTGCCTCTTCAGAGTCCTGCTCAAGGCAGCTTACAATTGAAAAACCCGCAGAATTTTATTTATTTACTTAATTTATACCCCACCTTTCTCCCCAGCAGGAACCCAATTCCCCTCTCCTCCATGTTTTTTCTATTCAATTTATTTCTACAGTCCTTAGACCAGTCATACAAAAAGAACTACACCTTTATAATATTCTCCTCAGGGGTCGTTTCGTAGAAAAAGAGCTAGGGGAACTCATTAGCATAACTCATTAGCATATGCCACACCCCCTGACATCACCGGAAGTGTGTCATAAGGCCACACCCACCACTCAGTTAGTCTTAGTCTTACACCAAACTGGTTCATAGGAATTTGTTTACCGTTTTGTTTTTGTTCTTGCACAACAGCAGAGGCAACTTGGTGTATCTGCTAAGTGTCAGATCAAGGTCTGGAAGACCCAGGTTCAGACCTGCCTCTCTGCCCTGGAAGCTTGCTGGGTGACCTTGGGCCAGTTGCTTGTCTTCTAACCCACCTCTCAGGGCTATTGTGAGGGTAAAAGGCAGAGAGACAAATACATGCCACCCTGAGCAACCCAGAGAAAGGGCAGAACAAAACCGTAACGAAAATAAAGCTGTGCCGGTTTGCCAGTTCCTCCCCACCTCCAACTACCGAAAGAGAAATAAGAGACCCGGGTGTGTGTGTGTTACCAACTGGCCCTTTTTTGGGGGAGGGGGGCAGCAACAAGGGGAGAAGTGACCCATCACTCCCCATCCCCTCCTTGGAGAATCCAACAAGGAGGCCAGTTGATGCAGAGAGGCACAGACAGAACACGTCCTCCGACTGTGCAGCTTCACACTTTATTAATTTATTTTTATTTATTTATTATTTATATTTATACCCCGCCCTCCACGGAGGCTCAGGGCGGCTAACAACATATAATTAATAAAACAGTAAAACAGTAAAAACAATACAAAATATTAAAATTACATCATAATTTATAACCTATCTAAAACAAAGCTAGCTAAAACCAAGATGGCGGTCCTCTAAACGTCCCAGTCTTGCCCATAATGCAAAAGAGAGTATTTAGGGCTTTGGCAATCCATGCCCATATCCAGATGTCCTCCCGGGCGT